GAGTATGAAAACACGGTACTTGAAACTGAATGGTTAATAGCTATTGTAGTCCAAGCAGGCCTTTGCAAAACTGATACTGTGTTCACTATTGCCATGACAACCAATATTTGATTTATTGTGCAGCCCTATTGCACATGCTCATACAATAAGAATCACACAATCATACAAAAGATGCAAATGTATTTTTAAAATTGTTTCTATAGTTTGTAACATGTTTATTATTGCAGCAAACATCCGCAAGTCAAAATAGCACTTTTATTTTACATCCATAATTTATTCTCTGCTGAAATAATGAGTTTTTTTATAATGATGATGATGATGGTGAACTTCTTTACCTGTAAACTGCTCTGTGAGTCTGATCTGTCTCTTCTCCATTTATGACACAAGAACACAAGCCAAAGGACTCAGCACCTACAACACAATAAAACAGACATAAAATGAGCGGCAGTGACAGACAAAAAAATAAACAAATAAATAAAAAGTGTTTGATTCAGTTTTTTGTTTCAGGGGGTCAAAACGGCCACTTCACTTCCACTTGCAACAACAACCAACCAGTGCACGAAGATAATCCAACTGAGGCACAGTCAGTTCTTGTGGAAGCACACAAGCACTTTAATGGGCTCATAAATCACACTGTAATTAGGTGTGAACAGATGAGCATTGTGCGTTTGTACCTACATTCCCCTKGGATCCCCAATTCCCACCTGTGCTCTGACAATAAGCTAAAGTGCTGTTTAGAAAGAAGAATTGAAAAAAGGCACACAAGGAAAACAAAAGGCAAGATAACTATTCATCTTACCATTCTTTCATTTTGTTGTTTTTTAACACATAATGTGCCAAATTATTCCAAACCATTACCAGAATACGGCTGACACACTAACTGGKTAGTAGATGGATATTTGGGCAATAAACAGAGAAGGGGAATAGTGTTATAGAACCTAGTTTAACACATGACTCATTCCTTATTTCTGCTCACAGCCGATGTGTTAAGATTGCAATACAGTTCACCATCCATACTGGAAGCAGTCGAATGGCAACATGTTSGTTGCATGCTGTACGCATGCTTAAGAATGAATGTATGGTTCTGCAACATCAGTTCGGATTATCTTCACGCAAGACTAATCCTGAATCAGCAGGGTACACTAGGACAGCTAGGTGGGGCTGCTGGAACTTGGTGGTGTATTGATAAGGCTGCAGATCTGYGTCCAGGTTGGGACATGAAGGGCACCAGGTGCAATACAATGGTCAAATCTCTCGTGCAAGTTCACTCACTGTGATGACCCCTGCAGGACGGAGCAGCTGAAAGAAAAACAACTACTACAGCTTTTTCTTTCTGTACAATGCCAAGAAAAAAAGAAAAAAATATGGAGGAGTACATGCTTTATACCTTTTGCAGCTTGTACCTGAACTTATATTTTAGTTTGGTAATGATTGTTTAAGAAGAATACTGTATATTTAGCTCAAGGGCCTGCTGTGCACACAATTCTAGGTGGTAGTTTTGTTTTGTTTATTTATTTCAAATATGGTTCTAAGTTATGTGTAAAGGAACACAACCCACATAATTTGTCTGGCCTAGTTCTGGCCCACACAAAACATTAAGGCTCTGTTTAYACTACAATTTTCTATGGAAACATTAGAGTTTTTTAAATGTTTTTTGGAGTGAATAAGGAAATGAACAAAAAAAAAAACCCATAAAAATCATGTGGATCCACATTATAGGTGTGCCTGGCAGGGCTGCCAAAGAGGACATGATAAATTGTTGTACTCTCCCTTTAAAATGATTGTATTTTGACCCAAACTGTCATTTTTGATGAGTGAGGCTGTTGTAAAATGAGGTGTGTGTTGGGTTGGGTGAAAATGTGCACAGAGGAGGAGGGGCTAAAAGGCGTGTTTTATGTTGTTCTGGAAACTCTGACGCTGGTCTCAGACATGCACTGATCCTGCAATAAACCAACATTCTTTCTGATCTGATCATTTATGAATTATTATTTAACAATTATTTAATTTAATTATTTTTTTATTTTAATTTCAATTATTTTATTATTTTAATTGTGGTGTCTAGTTAATGAATGGGCCAGCATCACATAAACCAAACCACAACTGGGCCATCTTAAAGTATACAGCATGCCATCTTAAAAATAGTGCCATCATTGCCAGACCTGGTCCACATCCGGTTGACAAACCACTTGCCATGCCAACAGTACATATCTGTCTGCTATGTGGAACAGTGTATTAGAATGAGTTCTTGATATACAGTACATATGAGGCTACCATTTAAACAAACCAGCAGAAATGTATTAGCTTTTCTTTGCATGCTGTGTGTTTTTTTTTAAATTTATAAAAGACAAAAAAGGTTTTCCCAAATCCATTGTTTTGTTTTCCACTCTGCATTAAAATTTTTTAGTGTTTGGAGTAGAGTTTTTCTCTTGTATCCAGAAGGTTGTTTCTGAGAATGGCAGGTACTTACTGGAGGACCGAGAGCGGCCGTTCATGAAGACGTTGAGGAACTTCTTGGAAAAGTGCAGGTCATCCTCGGAGGTGGAGTCTCCAGAGAGACAAGCTGTGGCCTCCCTCTGCACTCCACCTGTCCGATGATCCTCGTCTTCATCTTCCTCGTACTCCTCCCCGATGGCAGACTCGTAAGGGGAAGAGAGACAGTTGTCGTAGAYGGTGGCTGAGTCGCTGTCATCACTGTAGCCTTGGTAACACTGCCGAAGACTGATGAGCTCTAGCTGAGAGTGCTCATCCACCACAAGTGTGTATTTGACCGAGTCATATGTTAAGCTGCTGGCCTCGGAGTTCATGGTAGTCCTTAGTGGAACAGATTTTCTGCCACTGCCATCTCCCTTCCCTCCCACCTTTGTCGTCTTTCTGTCCATTATTATCCTGTCTACGTCCTCATCCTCCCCACAATAGCTTTCATCGGTGGCGTCCACATACTCTACAGATGACCCTGCTCTCAGCGTGGCCCCCACCCCCTTTAAGCTGAGGTCCAGAGCATGAGAGGGGGGAGCTGAAATAGCCATGCTAGGTGGGGTGATGAGAGACTCCACACAGGAAGCATATGAAGGTGGGGGKACGTACAGTTCGTCCTCCTCAAAAATTGAAGGATTTGTCCGGTCTGGGAGGGGCTGATAAGGAGGAGGACCCTCTGTATCGGAGCTTATGGACATGCGTCCTTGTTCAGTCTGCTGTGAAAGGAAAGGTCGGTCCTGTGCATTGGGGGGTTCTAAGGGGTCGGTGGAACGGTGGACCGGGGTCAGGTAAATCTCCTCCGTGGGTTCCAGATGAATATCCGTGTGGTATCGAATCCTCTCTCGATGGTGCCCAGGGCAGTCCGACTTCCCCGCCGGGTATAGAGGAGCTGGGGTGTAGTTCTGTGGCGGCGGAGGCTGAGGTGGCTTCTCCTGTAGCTTGGAGCGAGTCACGGCTCCTGCGCTCGAGCCGTGCAAATGTCCCGATGTGCGGCCGTGCCTGCAGGGGGCGTCGGTGGAAGTGCCGCGGTCTTTGGTCTGCGCTCCCCCAGTCTGAACCTTGTCCTCATCACTCAGGCAGCGGTGCTCGCGAGGAGGGGTGAGGTCGCCTGCAGGCAGAGCGGACACAGACAAGACCACAGAGATGGCCACGCAGACACACACGCAGACACACAAGCATAAACAGAGGCCAGATGCACACACAGAGTAGACGCACATGATGAAGACATGCAGACGGGACCGACAAAGGAACACAAAGACGGCCATGAAGATGGACAGACAGGACGGCAAAGTGAAGCGCAGAGCAGAAAGAGAGATGAGTAAAAATGGTTAGATAATATTAGGATTACCCATTTAAATCCACATTACTTTTCAAATACACGTTATGTCACAGAGTACGTCATAATCCACTGCCAGGAAATCAAAGCACATTATTTCACTGCGATGCAGCACTGGTACTTCCTAACAACAGGTGATGGACACAATTCAAATTTTAAAGAACAGAGGACTGAATTTCAGCTTGGTCTTTTATCAAAACACATTTATTTGTTAAACTGGATTCAATTCASGCAATATTCCTGAAAACAGATTCTCTCTGATCAAAAAAAAAAAAAAGATTAAATACCATGAGACTTTTAACTCTGTTGTACAAATGGCAAACACAGAGCCACAAATGGAGTCACATTAGCAGGAAATTTGAATTATCTCCGTTCCCTTGAGGCTCTGAGAGTTGTGACAATGAGCTTTGATGATACGAACTTGGCTAAAACACAAACTCACAGCTCATATGAGCCCTTCTGTTAGCACCACTTAGTGGTCACTCCAAGCCTTCACACTGTCCATAAACACAAACCATACACAMAATGAATATCACACACCTCACCAGTGTTAGAAGCAAAAAAAAAGGAGCTATGATGACTAGACAGAAACATTCTCTGCAGAATGTTGTCRTTTATCAGATAGGGGTGACAAGTAGTGAGGGTAAATAAAAAATGAGTAAAGAAAAAAACTTTCTCTTCTGAAGATCTGATAAGACAAATGAGAAATAAAATCTTACCAGTTTTAAGGGGTGAGGATGAGCCCGAGACCTTTTCCTGCCAGCTGTATTTTTTTCCTAATGAGTTGTTGTTTAAGGTGTCCTGAAATAAAAAAAGGAAGAGAGGGAGGTGGTAAGAATGAAAGATGAACGAAGGATACTCAGATAAGGAGAGTGAGGAAGAGAAGTTTGGTCAATGATTCTGCAATGATTCTGAATTCTCGGCACAAAGTGTGCAGCATTAGTGTTGTTTTTAGCTCTCACGTGCACTTGAACATGCCTACGCTCGCGCGCGCGTGCGCGCACACACACACACACACACACACACACACGCACGCACGCACGCACACACACACACACACACACACACACATATACTAATCCTTTGATTCTGATGAATGAGCAGGGATTCTTTTGTCCATGCTACGTGGTGTGCATTTAAAGAGAGCAGACCTTTTATGGAAGCTATTGGGAGCACTCACACAGTAGGAGCCTGTTGAATGCACGGATATGGGAAAACAGTCATAATGCTTACTAAGGACTTTTTGTTGTTTTAACCATTTTAAAGTACCAGTCTATATGAATTATAACATTGTGATCATATTGTATCCCTACGATATGCATTTGTGCAAAAAAAAAAAAAAAAACTGAAAAACTAAACCAGAAAAGTCAAACAACTATTGCAATTTGCTAAGATTCATCTGTGACATACAGTACAAGAGGTTTACAAACTAAGGCAGTGTTTAATTTCAGTGGTTTCAGCCCATACAGAACCTGGCCCACAGAGGCGACACTCTTTGAAGTCCAGGTAGGCTAAACACAGCTGGTAAATGAGATGGTCTAGTCTTTGGATGAAGTATGTTTGCATTATCAGAATACTTTATTGATCCCTGAGGGAAATTACAGGTATTACAGCTACAACCATTCAGATCAGAGAAATGTGAAAAGAAAGTAATAAGCACACTAGAATAAAATAAGTACAAACACCCAGGATTACAAAATAAGCACACGTATGTACACATAAACAATGTGCAATAAAAATATATTAAGAAAATGTGTACAGCATGGCATATTGCACGTTCGGCGAGTGTCATGGTTAAACACAGTAAATTAAATGGTCTGTACTTATATGGTGCCTTTTTTACTGAACCAGGACACTCAAAGCGCTTCACACTACAATCTGTGTCCTCATTTACCCATTCACACAGCACTCTACTAGATCTCCTACAAATCTAACATGTAGAATCATCTATGGAGACTAATCAGTGCCAGTCACATTCATACACTGATGGGACACACATCAGAGGCATTAGAGGTGAAGTGTCTTGCCCAAGGACACAACAACTGAGACAGCCGGACGGGGGATCGAGCCAGCGACCTTCAGGTTCTAGGACAACTCCCCAAACCACTCTGCCACAGCTGCCCCAAATATAAAATAAAGACTAAAAATAATGAAATGTACAGATGTATTAATGTAAATGTACAGATGATCTAGTTTCACATGATTAGGCAGGAGTTATAGAGTTTGAAAGCCACTGGTAGGAACGACCTCCTGTGGCGCTCTGTGGTGCATTTTGGTGGAAAGAGTCTTTCGCTGAATGTGCTTCTGTGACTCTTTACTGTGTTGTAGATAGGATGGTAAACATTGTCCATGACTCTCCACGCACTACCCCATTACCATGGGGTTATGTTTTATATTACATCACTCATAAAGGCCTAAAATSTAAAAATGCACTGGAACATGTAGTCACACATCTTTTAAAGGGAGGTATAACTTCCCAAAATTCAATGTGTTTTTAAAAATATTACATGTAAGGACACCAAGGACATTAATAATTTGAATTTAGCTCCAGTATCAGCACTATGGCTTTATTATATTATTGTGAAATGTTATTTTAATGTGGCTTCAGTTGAAAATTAAGTTTTTAATATACTGTATTCTGTTTAAAATTACTCATCTGGCTTTCACTGTTCWTGTTCATTGTTCGTGTTCGTTGTTATACAACGATCTGCTTAAATTGTGCATTATATTTGTACATAAGCCTGTACAATTTATACATGTAAAATAAGATTAAAAAAATCTCCACTGTCAGTACTTGTAATTGCATGTTTACCATTACATTGCAGCACAAATTTTATCAGCTATATTTCTATACAATACATTTTCCATGTAGTACTATGWGGTGATTTTCTAGGACACACAGCGTCAGAATGGCTGACTCACTATACAGGGAATTATATAGTTCCCTGTATAGTGTGGCCAATTAAAACATATCATGAGTGGCCAATTAAAACACAGTCATGAGCTTCCTTTTTTCCCATTCGGTACATTTCTGTGTACTTCAAATGACTCATTAAGTAAAATGTTGAGCCCTTTTCATAACACCACCTGTTTCCAGTGCATAATTTAATCAATATTAGAAAAGATCTCTAATTTGCTGAGTCATAGTCCTTTTTGAACAGTCTTATTTGAGGATCTAAGACTGCTGGCTTGCACGCAGACACAATACGATCCAAACGACAAGAGGTGGAAGCTCCTGTGACGACAGCATGTTACAAAAAAGATATTGTCCTCCTCCTCACCCTACCCACACATGACTCACATCTTCACTACGTATATGAGGAGGAAACTCAGTTGTTGCTGTGGTAACAAGTGARTCAGCAGGTGGGAAGGAACAGAACGGAGCTCATTAGCAAAAATATTCAACGTTGTGACAAAAAGAGCTTTGAGTGTGTGTGTGTGTGTGTGTGTGTGTGTGTGTGTGTGTGTGTGTNGTGTGTGTGTGTGTGTGTGTGTGTGTGTGTGTGTGTGTGTGTGTGTACTTGACTTGTTTTGACTTGCTTATCAGGAAAACCCCTAAAAATAAGCCTGAATCTTTTTTTTTTTGTGTTTTTTATTAAGGATTTATTGACATTTTTTGAAAGAGCAAACCTGCTATTAAAATAGCTTTGCTAGAGTGCTGGGAAAACACTTTCCCAGCACTCTAACAGTGTTTCATCCTTACACTGCTTTACCAGTTTTRACCAGCCTCTTCACATCTTTTGCTTCAGTTGTACACACATTTCACACACTACACTGCACATGTTACAAATAAATGACATAACTGCTTGCCACAACTGGCATCTCTRGGCTCCTCTTTGCTCCTGCCACAGATCATGTCAGGGACACTTTTTCAYGCACAGCTAATCTGAAACAAACATGCAGATGTTCAAGCTTCTCTGTGTTACTCTAAAACAAATAATAATGCTTTGTTGTATAAACGTTATGCTCCTTTGCTTCTTTTCTGTTGTGGCAGTTAGCAAAATGCAGTTACGCAACACACCTTTCCACTCCTAAATGATTACCTGTGACTGAATTATTTCATCTGTATGTCAATGTATCTGTGTCAAACAGCTGTACCATGATAGTTTAGTACAAATACTAACGTGTTACATCCCTACTAATTTGATTTACATTTTAACTTGAAGCATGGGAATGTTTTGGGATCTTAAAGTTTAAGTTGTAGATCACATTAACTGTAAGGTTTTCACACACTGGTCAGCCATAACAAACACCTAATATTGTTTAATTTCTCCATACGAAGTCCTCTGAAAAATCAGAGCATGAGCAAATACTATCAGAGGATGATTTGGAGCGTATGGTACAATTATATAACTAATAAAAAGTGTGCGCTCTGTGCATTGTGAGGGCGTCTGGAACAATGCACAGATATAMTGTTAATAATCATTTGAATCCAAAACATATGTTTGGTCCACATTTGAAGTCTTTCACAACCTCCAAATGATTCTGAATCAGACAGGTCCTTACTCTTGAACAGTCTGAAGAAATATGGAGAAGCATAAGTGAATTAATGCTAATTGTTGTTTTGAGTCAGAGTTTTAAATTTAGCTTTGTTTTTAGTTTTTTTTGTGTGTTTTCAGTTGTTTTGATTTTTGTTGTAATTTACTTTTATTTTGAAGGTATTTTGGGTATAAGAGTTATTCTTCTTCTGCTGCCTTTCATTTTATTTAGATTTTAACTTTGATTGCATGTTTTTTTTGTTGTGTATTGTTACAAATAAAAATGAATACATGATTCTAAAGAATAATGTATGAAACAGTGGGTGGATTTTTTTGACACGTCTTCCAGTGACAGCAGCAAATAATTCACTGTCCTGCCCATGGACACTTCAACACATCATACAGCTAAGTATAGCTCTGCCAGCTGCCAGACTGATATTAAAGAACTTGAGCTGATCTGAACAMGGGATCTTTGGAGATAAAAACTATTTTTCTTTTGTTTGTTTATTTCTAGTGTTTGTAGGCACATATTTCTGTATATTCTTGTTCAGTTWGTTGTATTCTGTTTCCCACAATCATTTGTTTTAAGCACAAAGTACATTCTGTAAYATTAAACCCTAAATGCATGGTGAAGCTTAAAAGTTAACCTAAACTGCACTTTGTAGACATGGTGACATCCTTCTTCCTTTGAGTTCTAACATATATKGGGATACTGAACAAAAACACACAGTCTCAAGCTTTGGTAACATTCAAGCACTAACAGAGCCAGTCACTAGGGTAAAAATAAACCCAATGTGTTTCTTGACAATTGAAGCTATTGTTCAGTCCTGAAAACATCCTGTCAGAAAAAAACAACTGTAGCTGAACCAATGTTTATGTCAAGCAGTTTTCTTTCTATTATAAAAATCAAAAAGGCAGACAAACAGAGATAAGCTTTCCTCTAATAATTTGTTGTGTRTCAGTATTTAGCTGTCCATCTATGAGAAGCCGTGCTTGTGTGTGTAGGTAAGGTTAATTCAGGCAAATACCTGTGTGCGTGGCACAACCGGGAAGAGGTTAAGAGTCGTGGGTCTCTTGGGCCGGTAAGTATCCATGGTGGCAGATGCTGCAGGGTCCTTGGTGACCGCCGAGGGTGCGACAGAGGATGCCTTTGAGGACTCTTTATCGCTGTGGTAACCGTCGGCGCCGTCGATAAGCTCCAAATGCAACATCTCTGCCTGAAGCTGGCCAACGGCTCCCAGCTCCATCCTCCCTGACGTGCTATTGGTTCCTCGCCTCATGCGGCTCTGCGGAGATTGGAGGCGAAATGGCGTCAGTCAAAGCAGAGGAACGGAGGGTGAGACAGAGAGAGACTGTGTGCACGGGATGAGGAGACTGAGCCGGCCAATTAGAAGCTCCTCCTCTCTTCAGCAACAACACTATCACTGAGCTGCTTAAAGAAAAAAAAACAGAGAGAAACTATTTATAGACTCCGCTTCTCCAAATGATAGTATTTACATCAAATTTTAGAGTGTAAATGAACACTTCTTTCTGTATATTGAATTAACTTTTTGTWGCAATTTTAAATTGTTGGAGAAATTCTCACCTGACCTCTTAATGTCTCTAGGTTAAATTCATTGAAAGGCTTTCTAGTTTAAGGAGGTTATCACGGTGCTAAACACCCAGTAATGGCTTATGTGACGTGCTGATTCATTTGATGCAGATGCGATGGTAGTGACTGGCTTCTAGGAGCAACAAATTAAACACGTCATGTTGCTAGATGATAAAATATTCGAACTACAACATGTATTAGTTTGTATCTACGCCAACCATCATTATCAGTCAGTGTCTATACCACAGTGTTCTATCCTATTGTGTTTGGTCATCTTTAATCCCATTTTTAATTAAATAATACAAGTGTCTACTGTGTGCCTGTGTAATGTCTAAGATAATCATGTTTTTTTTGTCATTAGCAAATTTCTTCTTAACATTTTTTTAGTTAATTTTCATGAATTCTATTTTAGGATTAATTATCTCTTCATTAATTTTTTACATCTTATTTGCATCAATATCTGACAGCTTAAATATGGTTAGACATGTCATGATTTGTGGCTCATTTAAACATTAATTTTAACAGAAAATAACAAAAAATATATGTGAAGTTCTAAAATTTTCATGATCCATTATGATGGCGTGCAAATAAACCAAGCAAATAATATAGCTAATACAGTACATAGCGAAACAAAACAAACATAAAAAAACGAAACAAAAAATCCCAAATTGAAACAAACAAAAAGGAAAAAATAAAAAAAAACTGGGCATTTAGCAGATTTTGCCTTTAAAAAAACTCAACCAAAAGTGAATAAAATGTGTAAATAGAGGAAGACGTTTCCTATTTGACTCTATCTAAATTTAATCAGCTCTTACATATAGACAGTCTTATAGTTAGAGAAAATGCTAATTTCACACAAGATACATTTTTAAGAATAGCTAAAGTACATTTTCAGAGCAATAGTTGTAAAAATGTTTTGGCCAAAGAACAAGAAAATCTTATTTTATTTTTTTCTCCAGATTGAGGTTACATTTCTGACAAAATCGGAACAACTGACACACATAAGCTTTTTGCCAGARACATTAGGTCAAAGGTCAAAGAGGTCGTGGAGTTTGCTTCAGTTACCATCAGGCCAGCAGGCACAAAGCACCAACTCCTCCAATTGGCTTTGACATTGACTCACTAAGCCTATTATAGTCTTTAACTCTCTTTGCTTCACATGCAAAGTTCAGTTGCTTCTTAAAAAATACAGAACATGAATTTGAAAAATAAGCATATGTCTTAACATATCTTTAATTACAAAAACTTTATAATATCAAACTTCAGATAGATATGCTTTGTCTGTTTCACAGCAGCTCAAGTCTAAGATCAATCAAAACAATCAAGCTCACATTTAACTACCGTATTTATTCATGTATAATACAATCTCAATACAACCCCSMCTTTTTTTGAGCTTAGAAAGCATAAAAAAAGTAATCATCAAACTACCTCCATTTTATTTTAACAACATATGTACTAAAAGGTATTTTGACAACAAATACAGTATATATCAGCTGTAGCAGCATCAAATGAATTCTGGCATTTTACACAGTCCACCAGGATGCGCCAACACAAAAGTCAGAGACTTCATATGAGATTTGGGCCATCTTCTGGGGCAAAAGCAGATTACTTCCTTCWCGTGATTGCCCCCTCTGGTGGGAAAACTTTTTTCAGGGATACAAACTTTTTCAGAACACCGTAGACGGCCGCCATTACAGACGAACATGTTTGTTGTAGTTCCAGCAGTGGCCCGGTCACACGCTAAGGTCATTAGCTTGTTATCATTACTAAGGTGCAGGACTGCCTTTTTTCTTTTTTCACATCATGTCGCCTGCTTGGATCTGTTACTATCTCGCTCTGAAGCATGGAGGAGTGTCAGAGGTGAGCTTGTTTCAACTGCTTTTCACGACRTGGTCTCATTTCCGGACTCAGGCATTTTGCCGATACTTCTGTTAAAATACATAAGTTAAAATATTTATCCGAGTATAGTACTACTCCCCAACTTTATGGATGATTTAATGGATTAAATTTTACGTATTATACTTGAATAAATATGGTAATCCTAGAAAGCAAGAATTAAATGAATGCTTGCTTGCATTGTTTAGTTTACATTACATCATATATATGTTTATTTGAAAGTCAGAAAAGAGCAGGCCTGCTGTGCGACTGTGAGCCTTATGGTGACTGATTGAGAATAACGCTTTGTAGAASAGATCACATGGATTTTTTTGCTCTTTTATTCAGACTTCCAAATTACTGAAGACAATTTTGWTACAACTTTAAAAACACATTTAATTTATTTAGAACAATACAGGCCAACAGCCACATAAAATATACAGCGTGATAAATACTGTTGTAAAAGTAGAACAAATAAGCATTTCTTTCAACTTTTATAACTTTTTTAAACATGAAACACAGTTTCACTTGAAATGAAAACTGTAACACATTTAGTGGAGTATCAGTGTCAATATTGATACTGGTATCTATCGGTCCCGCGTATTGGCACATTTTTTACAAGTATGAATAGAAGTGAATACTGTGGATATAAAGTATRAATACTTGTAAAAACGCTGGTATCAGGACACCAATAACAACAGCCTAAATTGATGTTATAATGATGATAAAAAAGAAGCACTTTCCTTGCGTCAACCTGGGTTGAAGAAGCAGATTCCTCCAATTCCTAGTGTTGATTAAAACATTTTTCATTTAAAGCAGAAAAAAAGGTCTGTGTGATGGCAAAGATTTTGTTTTTCATTTAGTTGAACAATAAGAGCAACCTTCATTATTTTTAAGTGTCTATGACAGCAGATAATAAAAGCTTTCATTGCTCCTCATAATCTGTGTGTAGACTCTGCTTTAATGTCTTTCTGCAGTCACTTACATGGAACTGTCTATTTTCTCTAAGCCCACCCTGACATTTCAGTCTCACCAGCACTTCACACACGACAAATGACTCTTCATGAAATCCATTCACCCTTACATGTATGCATGGAAGCACTCTCCTCTCCCACTCTGGCCCTGAGTGGCTGTGGTGATGATGATACATGTTGTCATCTCATCTCTCTGAGGAACGTTAAATCTCTTTATGTTTTTGTCTGGACCCAAGCTGCTTCACATTAACCCCTCATGAGCACAGCCATGTGCACTCGGAATCAATTTACTTTAGTCATCTGGTCCCATAGAAAGGGATTTTGTTCTTATTTACTTTAAAGTAGGAGCTTTTTTAAGAAAAAAAAAACTACGAGACTATTAATGCATATGCATTTTGTTCTGTCAAAAATTACAAAAATTGGCTGAAATAAAAGTAAAACCAATTTTGAAAAAAGGCACCTAAAGATTCCTATCACACACAAATTTACTGGCTGATAAAACCTATCTTGCTTCTTTATAATTAAGCTTTGCTTTTATTTTATGAAGTATGACAAATAAATGTTTTCACTGCATCATTAAAATTTACATTCAAGTTTGAAAACTTCAGATGTTTTCTAAAAAAAATCAGTTTTCGTAGTATATGAAATAGTATATATATATATATATATATATATATATGCAGAACATTCTAACCCCTGTTAAGTCAGAAACCATCCCTGCCTGCTCTTTTTCCTGTTAATGATAAAGGTCTAAATAAGTGAATCTCTCCTTGAACACAGAGCTCAGAGAGCAACATGAAACTAAAATGTTGACTGAAAGCTGCTCAGTCAAATCACCACAACAGAACTGCTGCTCTTCTTTACTAAAGTCCTGATTTCATARCTAAAGTTATCTTACAAGTCAACATATTAAATATGTCAATTTTGTCATTTACATATGCTGGGATTGTAACTAATTTAACTAAACAATACTTACATTATCATAATCTACTGCATCCATCATTTTATCAAATCACAGCCCTTTGAATCATAACCAAATCAAATCAGGAGGTCCCTTATCATTTTTATTATTTCCACTCCTAGTACAAATAGGTTTGATGAATGATGGGTGGAACGGGCAATAAACTAATATGCATAAGTAGCTAGAATACAGTTTCGTAAGCTGTGCACACAAACACACAAAACAATTTACAAAATTTGGCTGCTCAAAAACAGGGTGCCCACAGATACGCAGATTTTCATATTTTACTACAATATTGAGACAAATATTAGTGGCCATGAGTCTCTAACAGTTGCAATGCAGAGATAAGACCATTAGCAATAGGTGACACTGACAATTTGAGCAGTTCTAGTTTTCAACCATGATAAGACAACATGATAATCTGAGACAACATTCAGCATTATCTAGCAGATGATCATACAGAACAATGCTACTTGTATTTTGTAACTACTGAACGTGTTTCTTATTCAAAATCAAAAGTGGTTTTCCAAAGCCTAAACTGGTAACGCATACTTCTCATGTTTGTGTAATGTACCTAATCAATGAAGAAAGGTATGGTTGTGTGCAGAGGCGTATAATGTACTTGAAGGGGAAAAAAACAACCAAGTTGAGTTAATGTAAAGCAATAAAATGCCCAATTTTCTCAACTCAGTTTAGTGGAACAAGTTGGCAAAACTTAGCTGAGCAAATTCAACACTTCAATTTTTTAGAGAGTGTAAACAACTCCTTTCATGATGAGTTCTGGTCATAATTAAATGTGTTGTGTGTAGATGTTACATTTTAAAGTAAATAAGTAAATGTATCATTTTCATGTTTTAAATGTAACAAAATAAAAATTTAAGTTGT